GTGGTATATGACAAACCATAGTTTGGGAGTCTCATACTTCTCGCAAAATAACAGATTGGCGGAGGTTGCCAATTATATTTCCATATTTGTGACTATGGTGGGGGACGCCACTTTGTTGAGAAAGCCGAACCTCACGACCGAGGCTCGGGGACAAGCCGAGGTACCGAGGCCCTCACAAACGAGAGTCCGGACCAATGTGGCTGAGGGATTAGATAATATTTCCAAATATGTACATGTATATATAAAGGAATGCCATATCGGGAAGATCCGCATCATCCCGCATCTCTCCTTCTTCCCGGACGCCCACCCGCGTTCCGTGTTCCTAATCTGAAGCTTAATACACTTCATGACAAGTGTTTGAGCCATCTCGCAAATTTGCTAAGGCTTCTTGAAATTTGCATTAAAATTCATGAAACATATATAGAATCACAGCTAAGGAGATGCTCTACAACATGGCGGGAGCAGATTTCTCAAAGTCCAAGTTTTGAGTTTTCGGGCCTCAATTTGGCGGTTTTGCTTACTAATACACTACCATATATGGATATTCAAGCTTTATAAGCGCTGGTATTGCCAAATGTAGCTGTAGTAAGCGCCGGTCAGATTTAGTGACATTAAAAGGTTTGCAAGTATAAGTCTCACCATGCATTGCAGTGGAGGACCTGGAGTTGAAAAAGTAGAATGGAAGTTAAAGATGGAGCTCACTCTGCTTGAAATGTAGGTGTGTTCAGTAGCAGCATACCCTTGACAAGTTGACATGCATTGACCTTGGGCCAATTTGGCGGTTTTGTTAGGGTTAGGGTTAGGTTCACAGAAAAACTTGTGCTTTGAGATTTGGGCCTATCTATGGGGTACTTTGTATATTAGAATTTCAATCTCGAGGCGCTAGGAGTAAAATTGCGGCATGTCATGAAGTGGCGTTCCCCACCATACACGCATTCTGCGAAGTTTGAATTTGCCCTGTAAGATTTTGCTCGATCCCATGTATGGTCTCAGATGTTAATTTTGCTACACAAATTGCGACCAGTGCA